TAGATGACAACAGGTGCTCACATAGGTTTGTGCTGATGAACATGTCTGAGCAGCTTGACCGCGTTGTTGTGTGTCTGGGAGGAAACACAACGACAGAGCCGTGCTGGTTTGAGCGTGTCGCTGCTCGCTGGAGTAATATCGGCTCTGTCTGGACGTCAGTTAGAAAACTTTCTCTTTCAGTCGTGAACACATTACTGAGCGGCTAGAATCTCCGTTTCTGGGCTTCAACGTCAGAAAATAGCTGAGTGAACTCGGCGCTGAGTGAGAGGAGTGTAGTTTGTCCGAGACAGCGGAGCTGCAGAGACCGGCAGCAGGCGCTGAAAAAACACAAAGGAGGGGGCTTCGTCGGCTCCGCGCTGACGCCGCAAAGCATCATGGGAGTTGAAGTATTTGCGGTAAAATCGGCCAGCGGGCCAGTTTTAATATATTTTTGATATTTATCTCGCGGGCCACATAAAAATGCTCCGCGGGCCTTGACTCTGACATATGTGTCTTACAGGGAGGAGTAGGTTTTAGGAGGATGATCTTGTCTTGGCACCGACCTTTATCAGTAAAACTCCCTTGAGAACAGCATATTGGTTAAATCTGCTGATGGAGCCACCACTCGCTCATCACTGTCTAAACCTGACCTGGTGGATGATCCGGTGACGGGATTGAAAAAAAGAATCTCCCTGGTCATAGCACCTGACTGCCCATTAAATCTTCTGGGCAGAGACCTCATGTCAGAACTAAAGATCTCTATTGCCCCAATAAAAGATGGCATGAGGGCAATTCGTGTGGCTGATGATTGTTGTTATCTCAACGACCCCACAGGTGTCTATTATTCATTACAAGTTCCCTTTGATGTAAATCTAGCCGAAACAGAGCTTGTTATGAGAACAGTGCAGCCAGTGCTCAATGACACAGCCAAAGATGAGATGCCTTTGCCACAACTCCATGTGACAATGTCACTCGGGCCAGGTCCTGATTTATCATATCAGGCCTCCTTTCTTCCTACGTCACCTGTTGTGTTGACCACCTCCTATCTGATAACAAACGGAGAGTCAGATTCTGCAGCTTCTGTGTCACTGCTAACCAACATGAAAGCTTTTCATGATTTGCCCGTTGCTCCACACATTTCTCTGACCAAAAGCAGCTCCTCACGCTGGAAAGATTTGGGCTACATGGTCAACGCTGCATGTAATGCCACAGATTTTGCCCCAATTCAACCTGATAAAGATAACCAATGGAAGTACAGTGCAAGCACAGGTCTCTATCGGCTTCCTTTGCTTGTTCTACTCCAGTGTGTGACTGCTGTTAACCCTTTGCAGTGACAAACTGACTCTGTGTTGTTGACGGATGAGGAGGAGGAGCAACTTAAAGAGATCCCTGAAACACTTTGGTCCACAGGCCCGACTGATGTCAGCCTTTTGAATTCAATCCCACCTGTTCAGATTAAATCTAAATCCCAAATTAGGCCCAGAGTTAAACAGTACCCTTTGTCCCCTGAGGCAGAAACCAGTGATATCAGAACTCCTGGAGGTTGGAGTTATCAGACTTTGTCCTGATTAAACCTTTCACACAGACTGTTGATTGTAAAAACGGGTTTATGACTTCAGTGGTGCTGCAAAAACATGGTGATAAACAGAGGCCAGTTACTTTCTATACTAAGACGTTGGATCAAGTGGCCCAGGCTCCACCCGTTTGCGTTCAAGCAGTCTCAGCAGCAGCTCTCGCTGTTTCGTGTTCTGCAGATGTGATTCTCTTCCACCCACTTGTGCTCCTTGTTCCACATGCTGTGGATGTGTTGTTGTTGCAAGGTAGATTGGGTCTGTTGTCTCCAGCCAGACATCAAAGCTACACAGCCATTTTGATTTCTCAGCCTCACATCACCATTCAGCGATGTAACATCCTGAACCCTGCAACTCTGTTGCCCACCCAAGCTGAAGGTGACCCACACATCTGTGTTGAAGCCACTGATCATTTACAGCTGCCCAGACCTGATCTCAAGGACACGCCACTCCCTGATGGTTTGGTGTGATTTGTGGATGGTTCCAGCTCCAGAACAGAGACAGGCGCAACTCAAACAGGCTATGCTAATGTGCAGTCACCTGATCACGTGATTGAAGCTAAATCCTTACCATCACATTTATCAGCTCAGGCTGCTGAAATAATAGCTCTGACTAGAGCATGTGAACTTGCTTCTGGTCAGCCTCTGACAGTCTACACTGACAGCCAGTATGCTTTTTCTATGGTGCATTGTTTTGCTAAACAATGGGAATGAAGAGGGATGGTTACATCCTCAGGGAAACCCATCACACCTTCTCAACTTCTACTCAGACTCTTTAAAGCTGTCCTGTTGCCATCTACTCTTGCAATCTGTAAATGTCAAGCCCACACCTCTGGAAAAGATTTGGGTTCCTGTGGGAACAGATTAGCACCTGACTGCCCGTTAAATTTTCTGGGTAGAGACCTCATGTCAGAACTAAAGATCTCTATTGTACCAATGAAAGACGGCATGAGGGCAATCACTCTGTCAGTGTTTGGAGCAAGTTAATGACTGGATGCAGTCAAACGTCCTCCAGTTAAACAAAGACAAGACTGAAGTCGTTATCTTTGGGAATAAGGACAGGATGGATGCTATTGCTCAGTTTGGCTCCAGAGGAATAGAAAAAAAAGACTCTGGTTAGAAATCTTGGTGTCATAACTGATTCAGACCTGAGCTTCACTGGTCACATTAAGGCTATAACTAGACCAGCATTTTATCATCTTCTTCAAAAGCAAGACTCAGAGGTCTCATGTCCAGACAACAACTAGAGAAACTCATTCATGCATTCATCTACAGCAGGCTGGACTATTGCAATGGTCTTCTGACTGGTCTTCCCAAAAAGCTGTGAAGCAACTCCAGCTTATTCAGAATGCTGCTGCTAGAGTCTTAACAGGAACCAAGAGAACTAAACACATCACTCCTGTTCTTAAATCTATACACAGGTCACCGATAAACTACAGAATCAATTTCAAAGCACTTCTACTAGTTTATAAATCACTACATGGCATGGGGCCAGATTACATGTCAGATCTCCTTCCTTTATAGACGCCCAGACGAGCTCTGAGATCCTTAGGAAACAGTCAGCTTGTAGAACCGGGTCAGAACCAAACAGGGTGAAGCTGCTTTTAGCTACTATGCTACACACAGATGGAAGCAGTTTCCTCATGACCTCAAACGTGCCCCAACTCTAGAAGCGTTTAAATCAAAATTGAAAACCTTCATGTTTTCATCTGCCTTTGAATAAATATTTTTATGCTGCAACTTCTTCACTGTAACTGCTCACCCTTTAACTTTGTTTCTTTAAAATTTTTAAATTGTATTTTCTGTCATGTTGATTTTAATGTTCATGCTAATGGAAAGCACATTGAATAGCCTCTGTGTATGAAATGCTACATAAATAAAAATGCTTTGCCTTGCCTAAAGGTCCCTGGTGGGAATTACTTTGGACCCTGGTGCCTATTCCTGTGGCACACCAAATCTAACTGGCCCCACTGGGAAGTCGCTTTCAGCGTTTAAATCCTGGTTATCAGTTGTCTGTGCAGCCTGTCAACAATTAAACTAAAAAATTTGTATTTTGCCTAAACATCAAATCACATTTAGGAGACTTGGTGGAAACACATTTGGTTTTGTTAAATGCAAAATGATCTGAGGTGGGTATAGTAGGCTCTAGGACTTTAACTCCATAAGAACACACAAAACATGCTGCATGTTAAAGTGAGTGCTAATTAGTTTAGCTTCTGCTGCTTCATCAGTCTGCTGATCAGTTTTAAACACAGTGGATGCTATTGTCTTCCTTGTGGTAGCTAGCACAATGTCCTGTGTTATTTTGTTGTTAAATCCACCCATAACCTGGCACCCAAAGACATGACAGAACTTATCAGCCCCTACAAAGCATCTTGTGCACTCAGCTCTGCGGACCACCAGTATCCCAAAAGCGCCTGGTGGCTGAGCTTCTGGTCATGTGGGACCAAAGGTATGGAATGAACTTCCTCTATAGTGACAAGACTAGAAGACACTTACCATGCCATACCAGTTTATTCATAGTGCACATTTAAAAGTAGCATGGCAGCTAACCAAAGTGCTGTACAGGAGAGCGAAAGACTCACACACAACAACAAAGACAGCATAGGAGTAAAATGTAAAGCTAAAAGCATGTAACACACATAAATGCAAGGCATAAAATTACATTAAAAGTTAACTAACCAAAAAACAAGTAAAAGCACTAAGACAAGAGATAAAAGAGAAATAATCTAAACTAGAAAAACTAACTGAGCAACATTAGTGAGCAAAAAGTACTGAGGAATGTCACACGCTGCGGCTAATAGAGAAGCGCCACTCTGATGAATGAAGACAGTCACTTCCAATTTTCAAGTAATTTCTGAAGAAACACTTATTGATCTAGCTAGCTTTTGGAGGATAGTCTAACATTAGTATCTTAGTTCCTGCTTTTATTGATGTCTCGGATGACTTTCTGGGTTTGAGTTTATTTCTAATACTTGAGCTTTTTTATACCTGTTTTTTGTATTTTAAAATGTTATCTTTTACATGTACCTGTTGCTTTTTTTCTTACATTTGTAGTTTGTTACCTGTTTTGAATTTTATGGATTCATCCTTTATGTGTGTTGATTACTTTGTTCAACCTTAGTGATGCTGATTTATAAGTGCTTTATAAATAAACTTGACTTGAAATATAAACAGACAAACTCTTCATGAGTCATCCTGGGTGAAGCAAGGCAGCAAAAACACAGATAGGTTAACCTGCAGCTAACCGGAAACTTTCAGTTTTCTAAACAAACCCAGAGAAATGGATGATCTGAAGGAGAATGATCAAACTTGATGTGGCCACATCATAAGGTTTCATAATGAAGCCTAAAATTGTCCATGTAAAGATAAAACAAGAATGCAAGGACATGAGAGTGAAGGATGTTTGCTTATTGGTGGTCTTGTGACCGTATAGATTTATGATACCAAGCAGGGGAAAATAACAACAGCTGTTCATATTTATTTGGGGTCCAGAATACATTTCTAAAATCCATCATGTAGTTTAATGAAATCAAATGTTGTGATTTTCAGTTCAGCTTTGAAGATAAACTAAAGAATATAACGGTTTCTGCTGACATGGAGCCTGGTTAAACTGAAAGTGTCTGCCCAAATCGCATCCTGTGTTTTCAGCAACTTTTTCTAATAAACATGGTAAAAACCCTTCAGGAGACCAGTGCTTCACGCACCTGTGTCAGAATGCTGAACTACACTGCCATCTCCTGGAAAGCCTGTTTTGAGTGAATTGAGCAGATCTACACTGTTATATCAGCTGACTGCTTTACTTTGTATTAAAGTGGCATATCTTCAGTCTTGTCCCATTAAGACATTTAGTAAAATATTTACAAAAATGCAAAGAGTGTACTCCCTTTTGTGACATACTGTATGTCTGTTAAGTGCCACGAGCTGCAAGCTGGCACAGTTGGTAGGACTGTTGCCTTGTAGCATGAAGGCTGCAAGTTCCACTCAAAGCTGCAGCCTTTCTGTGTGCACATTCTCCCCAGGCGTGCATGGGTTTTCTCCAGATTTTCTGCTCTCTCTCCACTTAATTGGCGATTCTACACAGGTGTGAGTGAGCGTGGGACTGGTTGTCCCAGTGTCCAAGGTGTCGTCTCCACCACTTGCCTAATGACTGCTGGAAACAGGGAGCTACTCCCTGTGACCCCATTGATAAGCCGTATGAGCGAGTGGCATGGGCCAGTTTATTCTTTTTAATCATCTTCAACATTTATATAAATAAGTATCAAAATATGTGAGTCAGCATGCTAAATGCAGAATGTTAGAATATAAAGGACATTTGTGTTTTGTTTGTGATGTTGATAAAAAAATAACTTAAAACTTTTTTAATGTCTATAAAATAGATTTTCTGCCATCTTGCAAAGTATTTCTGTAAAAGACACAAAGAAACACTTTTGTACACCGAAAGCTTCCTAAGTGGCCTCTAATTAGAGTGTGTATTTGTCTTCGAGGATTGATGAGCTAACAGCTAGTGCGAGAGCAACAAAAGCATAACAATTTTGTTATTAAACAGCTCCAACTGACTGGAAATGTTTTATTATTATTTTTAGATATTTTTAGTCAAACATCAGTTTTGCAGTTTTCTTAAGAGGAATTCTGTTTACAAGCATTAAAATTACCAACAAAAAAGGAGCACTAATTTATCCGGCAGTCAAGTCTGCAATTAAGACGTTTCATAATATCTCTTCTAAAGTTACCACAAAATACTGAATCGATTTATAAAATAATCTTGATTAACTGCTATAAATGCTGCTCCTCCTAGCTGTAATCTAGTTTGATCTTGGCTGCTCTCAGCCTAGCCGTTAACCTATCAATCGTGTAGGACATGAACTCAATTTCTCCAAACAGAGGCCATTCAGGAAGCAATCTGGGTGGGAAAAGAAACACATTTCTTAATTACAAACTACAATTCTTTCAACGGAGAAAAACACATAGGAGATTTAGTTTAGGACATTATGAATAGTGATACTGCTGCTCTCATCTAATAAAAGAAGCTTGCAGACATCAGTGACACCAACCACAGCAGCAGGCCAGCAGTTGAGCGGCTGGCGCTGTTGCAGTAGTCCCCCTGGCAGCAGGTGCTTTCAGGGCCAACATATTGTTTAAACTGTGCAGAGCTCTGCAAGCACATTGTCTTGGAGGCGCAGCCCTTCATGATCTTGCTTTGCCCGTCAACGGTCACTGCAGGAATGAAAACATATTTATATGTGAGCTCATGTTTGATTTTGAACTCTGCGATGTGTCTGAGAGGGAGATTGTGGAGCACAGAGAAGAAAACCTGATTTTTACCCCTTGCTTTGATGCAGTGGTCCTCTTCTCCTTCACAGTTTAGAGTCCGGGTGCACTCTTGTCCTTCGCAGCTGTAGCACTTGTTGCCATTTGGAATTAATTTGGGCTCTGAAACACAACAGCAGCTTGTTGTTGAGCCTAGCTAACCACTTGCACTGTTTAAGAGAAGCTGCAGAAACCTCAAGTTGGCAGGAAATTAATTACCAGAGACTTTGGTGTTGCAGAGGTCTAAAGTGCAGCACTGGCTTAGTATCACAGTTTTTGCTGATCCAAAGTTGACGGAGCCTCCAACGCACTCCGTAGCTGCAGAGCACTTCTTAGCTGTAATAACTTGATCCTTTGAACCACCTGCAACCAAAGAGCAGCTGCTGTGAAGTGAGCCAGAACCAAACAGGAGGCATCTAGAAACTAGAATACCTGTGAATGTAGTGATTGTTGTTATACCACACTGCTGAACCTGAGAGGGACAGTCTTTGGGTGCAGCAGGACAAGTTCCATTGCTGCCGGATGTGCACTCATAACATTTCAGGCTGTGGGCTGACAGAAACAAGCCTCTATTATCATCAAAGCATGACCTCCACAGCACATCAAAATAAAAACAATCAGAGCTGTTCAGAATTATAGCAAAATACCACAACATCTTCTTAATGTCGATATAAGCAGAAGAATATGAACCCTCCACAAACCAGATGGGATTCATTTTGTCTTTAGATTAACGCAGATATTTTTAATACTAAGTATTCATCTGGACCCACTGAGGAGTCCGTGCATGCACACAACAATCTGAGAACTGTGTAACTATAGAAACCACAAAAGGTTAGGGCTCTGTAGAGGAAAGATGCAGATGAAAAACAAAGAAATGTTTGCTTCAAAACCAAGGAAAATCAAAAAGTTCTTATAAATGGGAAAATTGGAAAATAAAAAAACTGAATCACTTACCTTTTGGGAGAAGCCAAACTCCAAGAGCCAGTGTGATGATGAGCATTTTGTTTGAGGCTCTGAGTTTTATTCTGCTGTGTTCAGGTTATATAAGCAGTTGTGAGGAGGAGCTGGGCCCCAGCATCAGATCAGACCACTCCTCCATCAGAACCACAAAAACTGGTGTTGTACTGACTAATGAGAGACCTGAGTGGTGAAGGAGGGATGTTTACCTTTATTTAGCCGATACCTTTATCCAAAAGCACTTACAGCTATGGGTATCGTGCTCTTGGCCTGTTGGAGGAACCTAGAGCACCTGGAGAAAACCTACACATGCATGAGAACATGCAGATTCCACATAAAAGTGGGTTTTGAATCTGCAACACTCTTGAAGCAATCCAACAGTACTATTTTAGCCCCAACTAATAAGCATGAACAAAGCTGAATAAGGATGTAAAACTGATCATTTAGGAGTTTGTTTAAATGTACCTTTGATCTATCCTAGTAAATAAAAAAACACACACAAAAGATGCTTTTTCCTAATTTTCGTTTCTTTTATTAAGAAAAGCAAAAGTATTTTAATGACATTTACAAAATAATAATAGTTTACACAAGTAAACATTTCATCTTAGACTGTGCATTCCACAACTTTACAGAAGTACAAAACGTTTTTTATTTGAACTCCGACCTCACGTGAAAGGCTGCTGAGCATCAGAGCCTCGGCCTCTAGGCTAGGAGAGCAGGCGGCTGTATTCAGAGAGTGCTGAAGACTTTTTCACCCCGTCCCAGATCCGTGCAGCATAGTGAAACCTGAAAATGTAGGTTAAGAAGGAGGCGAGACGCTCAGCAGCAACTAGAATTATGAGTTATTTCAAGAAAGTAAGTCTAGCAAAATATTATTAAACTACTTACTTATAAATTTTCTGTTATTTTTTTAAAGAACCAATATTTAAAATTACATTTAGAGACTTAACAAGAACGATCAACTTTCCACCTTTTGTTAAAAGTCGTGTAATAAGAAGTTCCATGAAGGCACCAATTCTCTAAAATTAAAGGAAAACGTATTTTATTTAGGGAACAGTTATAAGATATCCTCAGTAGGCTGAACTGATAAAACAAAATGTATTCATAAGGGAGTCGTGGAAAAAAATATGTGAATTTACTTAATTAGTAACAGTTTCACGCGACTTTTCCTGCAAAAATCTGCAGGACTTTGTATAAAACATCTCACAACTGGAAAAGAAAACAATAAGGTTTCATTTTAAAGAAAGTGCTTTGGTCTTTATGAAATGTCACATTTATGGAAAGTGGTTTATCTGCTGGCGGGAAGTCGAGCTCGTTCCTGGTGAGAGTTGGACTCTGCCAAGGCTGCTCTTTATCACCGATTCCGATCATAACTTTTGCTTTCCTTGACATTGGACGTGTTACTGCTAGTTTACCCATTTAATTAGAGATCCACTAGGATAAATACAATAAAGTTTATCTCACCAAATAGAATATTTACTAAGACATTACAATAGAACTGTAGACACATTATTGTGTGTGTGTGTGTGTGTGCGTGCGTGCGTGTGTGTGTGTGTCTGCTCTGTCTTCTCCATCCCCAGTGAGTCGTGGAGGATGGCTGCTTATACTGAGCCAGGATTCTCTGGAGGTTTCATCCTGTTAAAAGGGAGTTTTCCTCTCCACTGTCGCCGCATGCTTGCTTAGTATGAGGATTGCTGTATAGTCACTGACACTAGTCAGTGACTTGATGCAATTTGCTGGGTTCCTTATATAGGAAACATTATTTCTGATTGGCTTAATGAACTGTGCATTGGAATGTTTATTATGTGAAGTGCCTTGAGACGACTCTTGTCGTGATTTGGCGTTTTATAAATAAACTTGAATTGAATTGAATTGAATGAACAGGATTTCTAGGTGCAGCCAAGGTGGTGAGGGGGTCAGTTTTGGTGGCCTGAGGATCAGGTCTCTGCTTTATGCAGATGATGTGGTCCTGTTGGCTTCATCAGAACGTGATCTCTGGCTCTCACTGGAGCGGTTCACAGCCGAGTGTGAAACAGCTGGGATGAAAATCAGCTCCTCTAAATCCGGGACTATGGTCTTGAGTCGGAAAAGGGTAGAATGCCTTCTCCCGGTCAAGGATGAGGTCCTGCCCCAAGTGCAGACCTGCCAACCTTGTCAAAATGTTTTGAGTACCACATGCGCTACGTTTTGTTGCAGACTTTTGCAACACTGTTGTTTTGCATGTTGTAATTTCCCCATTCACTGGCTAGAAGCATCTCCTTATAGTCCAAAAATCATGTATTTTAATATTAAACAGTAAAACTCTAAAGTTGCACTTGCCTTCCTTACTTATCATGAGTGCTTATGCAAGCTGATTGTTACTTGCATTGAATTATTTCAATACCTAATTAATCAAAATTAATAAAAAATATATTTAAATATGTATTTCTTTTGCATATTGCAACAGGTGGCTCTGTTTTGAAGAACGTTATATTAAATTGGCTTAAAGCACATGTGCACACACCACCGAGGCTAATTTATACCTGCAGCTCCCTGGTGGCTTATGGTCACATCATAATCACAGATGAAGCTAAATGCATGGTGAAGTGGTTTAAAGGGTCGCAATTGTGCCCACAATTTTTTAGTTAGGTTAGTTTTTTTCTCAATAATTTGGCTACATTTTTTATTTATTCTTTCTTCTGTTTCTTTTATTTATTTATTGTTGTTTATTTTGTACAAAGCTGAATTAGTTCCCTTTCTCGTTTCTAATTTGGAAAGGTTAATTCCAACTAAATTTTCTACTAGATCTAAGCTGGACCAGATCTAGGCTGGATCAGATCTAAGCTGGGGTTTAGGGGCCACAAAGAGGGGGCCCGTGGGCCGCACATGGCCTGCTGGCTGCTTATTGAGGACCAGTTACCTAAAGGAAGACCCAGGACACGCTGGAGAGACTATGTCTCACGGCTGGCCAGGGAACGCCTCAGGATTCCCCTGGATGAGCTGGCCCGAGAGGGAAGTCTGGGCCTCTCTGCTTAGGCTACTGCACCCGCGACCAGATCCCGGATAAGCGGAAGATAACGGAAGGATGGATGGATGGGTTTATGTGCCGCTCTTAAATAAAAAAACATACTTTGTAAGATATTTACCAGTTTTTCTCCGTGAGGATGGTGTGTGAGAGCTGACAGCGAGGCATGGCGAGCATCTGGCTGCGGAGTTTTGAGATCATGGTGGAGAAGGTGGGGTGTCCTCTGTAGCCGGGAAGCAGAGAGAACAGTGGGTAGGTTCCTGAGCCTAAATCAGCCAAAAATAAAGATGAGTATTTTACACACAAGATGTTCTGGTTTGTGGAAATAAAAGCTTCAATTACCTGCTTTGTTCAGATTATCATCTCCATCATTCTCCTGCACAGGAAGAAAAAACATGTTGACTTCTGTATCCAAGTATTCCTGCTCCAGGCCTGGGAAGATGTTGCATTCCAACATGGACAAAGTTCCTGTGGCATAAAACCAAATTATGTAGGTTTAGAAAGAGACTGTTGGCTTATAGATAAAAGCTCCTGAGTTCATTTGATCTAATCCCAAACTTATTTAGCCGCGCACCCCCTTCTATGTCCCGACCATGTTGACGCACCCCCCAGCCCCACATCAGGGCATGGCTATATATATATATAAGACGTCACGCTAAACCAGGGGTCGGCAACCTGTTCCCATCAAAGAGCCATTATTACCCGTTTCCCACAGTAAAGAAAACACTGGGAGCCACAGCAGCCGCGGCGTTGTGGGCGGGGCCTACCCTCAGACAGCAGAGCGCTGCTCACAACAGGTGACAGCAGCCGGTACCAGTCGCTCGTGTACGTCAAAGTTATCTTTCATAAGACGATAATCAATAAAACGATTTATATAAAGTGGATCCAGAAGTTGTAGCCCGTCTCTGCCGACAATATTTTGATATTTTTCACCCTGTTGGTGGTTTTACTGAGCAGGTGCCACTTTTGTCATACGTTTCTTTTTAAAACATGTTTAGACTGTTCAGAATACAAATCCAGGCTCTGTCACGTTTGATTGTTGTAGTTAAACTTTGTAGGTGGGGAAGGTCAGAAAAGGATCCGATCATTTTGTTTTCCCTCATTTACAGCGACGGAGACAACGGTGCAGTGCGCCTGGCTCTGGTGTTAATCAAGTTTAATTTGTAACAATTTTCACAAGAAAACAGAACAGTTAAAAGCAGGGCTTGTGTTGACCGGACAGTTCCCGTATTTGACCGTTTATTTTGACGAAAAAGAATAGAAAGAATTACCCTGACGCAAGCAGACGAACTGACACTTTATTTGTTTCGCAAATCACAGATGTAGCTAAATCACTCAAGAAAAGATTTCCTTCTGAACACCTGAGCTGGACACCGCTCAGCACAGCTCACTTTCAGCGCGTACATAAGGTGCACAGCGAGCTGAAGATGTGGAGAGGGGCTTGGAGCGCGTAGCAGAACCAGAGCGCATGCGGAAAGATTCCTTCCACTGAAGCGAGTTTTCCAAACCCGGTCTCTCAGAGAGACTAGTCACTTAGAAAATGTTCCCTGATGATGAAACTTTGGCTGAATTGTGCGTGTTCCTGTCTCCAATGTGGCGTCTGAGGAGAATCCCAGAATCTCACATCGTCTTCAGCTCATAAAGCGCCGATGATTACGCACAAGCGTGACACGTCTAACCGGTCTCACAGTAGACCGGGTTGGACCTGTTCAGGTTTACGCAGACAATCTTTACATTTAGAATTTACATACAGATGTAAAATTAATGCAGTAAAATATAAAGCATTTTATTTAAATATCCATTCATTATTTTACAAGCACATGCATGCAGCTCCAGAGCAGCGGATTGCTGACCCCTGAGCTAGGGCATGTGGGGAGGACACACACACACACACACACACACACACACACACACACACACAAGCAAAATATACTTGTTTTCAATTACATTTATTGGGCCCACTTACATTTTCTTAGGCCCACCCACAAATGAGTTTCTGGCTACGCTAATGGTGGCTTTTGACAGACTTCTCTGAGCTCCGCAGCCATTACACTTTCCACCTCGCGCACCCCCTGGCGGCAGCTCGCGCACCCCCTAGCGGCAGCTCGCGCACCCCCTAGCGGCAGCTCGCGCACCCCTGGGAATCCCTGATCTAATCTGTCATAATCAACATGAGTTTATAATCAAAATTATAATTTATCACTTCTGCTTAGTTTTCCTAACAATCACACTAAATCTCATTTGAATAATTTGTTGAATAACACACACACACACACACACATATATATATATATATATATATATATATATATATATATATATACACACACACACACACATACATACATATATCTGAGGGAGTTTACAGGAACACTGCTGCTTTTTGAGTTGATTTTGGAGTGGCTTTACCACATTTCTCTCACTAAGAAACCTCTGTTAGCCTGAGTTAGCATGTAGCTAATCTCCCACTGATCTCCGTCCCAAGGCGGAGCATGACCTCACATATGCGGCCAGGGCGCCTGGCTATGATCACAGCGGTCTGAGGCTCTGCTTGTATTTTAACAGTCCATATTAGAGCTCCACATGACAGCCTCGCATGGAAACCAGGTGGCAGCGCAGGTGGGCCACCCCAGAGCTCATTCTTAGCTTCTTGGGTTAGCTACGTTAGCTAGTGGCTGCATTGGTTCATTTGGTTCCAACCCTTTTCCAACCGTAACAGCCCCACCCTCAGCTCCACCTCTTTTCCCATTTTTGGATTGTCTGGGAGTGACGAGTCCTGTGACACGGCCAAAATGGCGGTGGTGGGTACCTTCCATTTGGCTTCAAACCTGCCCCCCACAGAGCAATGGGTGGTGTATGTCCATCCCTTTTTTATGTCGATGATCTGATATATCTATACTAACATATGTGTACTGATATCATAAATCACTAATACAGTATATCTATGCTGCTCTTTTGATATTTTGCACCTTTGTATCTGAGGTGAGAATGAGCCATCAGTTTGTCCACCACCATAAGCATGTTCTTCAAATTTCTTGGACAGAAATCCTCCCGTCCGGCTTTATTCTGCAGGAAAACTGGACAGGAAAGATCAATCAAAAGAGAGGACATCAGGACCTGAGTTTTTCTGTGTCGCCGTGTCAGGTACCTATGTGAGGATAGTACTCTGCTCCGTCATCACCGCCTGAGGAGCTGGTGCTGTCGTGGCTCGCAGACGGAGTAGAAGGTTTCAACATCTCAGCAGTCTGAAGAAACCTGTCAAAACACAACATCTTCTGTGTTCACAGCAACAAGAGTTGAGTCAGAGCAGCAGCAGCAGGCAGAAATAGGAAAAGAGACTTTTTAGGGAACAGTTTGATTCGTGTTTTATCTTAAAGCTTATTTTCTAAAGCAGGAATCTTTCAACTTAAACACTCAGTCCACAAAAATAAAACTTGTTTAGGGCTACAGAAGCTTTGGAAAAAAAAGACAGTTTGCATCTTGTTCATCTACACAAGAGGATTAGAACCAGAGAATTCTGACTTTAAATTCACAAATCACTAATCAAACAGATCTAAAAAATATTATGTTGTGGAAACACAATCCAATTACTCCCTGAAAAAATCAGAAACGCTGCTTAAACCTGCATTTTTATTGTATTTGTATTTTTAAAAGTTTGTTTTTCATTAATTTTGCCAAAGTTATTAAGACTCATAGTAGAAGGGCCAACAGATTACTTCTGGCTCCAGAGCCACAGGCTGAACATCCTTCCTGACAAACCTTCTGAAAACTCATTGGAGGAAAAACTGATTAACTTTTGAGCCCCATTCAAGATGGCCACCATAGCTAATCAACATTAGCAAACACAAAGATGGAGAAGTCGTATTCACAGATATTCAGCTACAATTCCAGGTTGTAGAGCACGAGTCGATCACTACTCAGCCTAACCAGTCCCTCTTCGGTCCCCTAACGTTATGGAGCCTAAACCAGCAGGACATCTCACATTTATAGGTTGTGTTCAGAGCCAGATGCAAGTTGGTGTATGTGCTCGTTTGCATAAAACACACTGAAAACCTACGTCTTTGCTCCAGTGCTGCTTTTTTTATATCCCATTTTGAAATCAGTAACAAGATTTTCTTCAGATTTCAAAGTCTTCTTGACACTTAAACTTCCATCTCAACATTTCTCATTATTCCTTCAGAGTGTGTCTAAAATGCTGTTATAGAACAGATTAACGAGCTCATGACTGATTTTATTTGGTGCCACAGCAACAGTATTATGAATAAATTCACCATTTTTATTAGAACTATATAAACACATCCTTTGTTAACCCATTATCATTAAAGTCATTTATTTTTGGTGATGAAAGGGTTTCCAAGGGCAACGCAGTCCTCAATCCCCTAAATAACCACGACCTTCTTACAATAAGAAGTTTCAGTCAAAATCTAGTGAATGGAGGCGCTATCCAAGGACTTTATTTGGTTTAAGAAGAACAGTTGTTCTTGTTGTGCTGTAGAAAGCTTCAAGGCAATAATGCTGGAACAAAATCAGACGTTTGTAAGATGCAACAATCATAGAAAAAGTCTGAAGTCCTGGCGAACTGAACACATGATCAGATGAGGTGTGTTTATCCACTAAGAGCCGGCGTTCCTGAGCGTGTTCCTGCATGTGAACGGCAGATGAAGTGAATGCAGAAGCATCAGCCTCCATCTCTAACCAAACCAACACTCCAAATTAGGAAATAGGCTGAAGGTGTCCTCAAATGCACTGAGAGTGTCTGGTGGGAAACACATGCCTGCCAACATGAGCTTACGTGTTCGCCTTCCTCAGACATCCTGCACCATCCCCACAGGAAAACACAGCCGGAATGTTTGGGATTTTTTTAAGTCTAGTTAAGACAAGTGAATGTAATAACACACCGTGTTTCAGGAATGTCCTGGATCCTCAAACGAAGGCGTTTTTATGAGCCGCTGCAGAACCGGAGAACACAACTAGACATAAAGGTGAAGTTTCTTTTATTTTATTTACTGGGATGAAATTAGCAGAAATTCTTGAAATGAAATAAATGACTTTGTTAGAATGATGAAGAGCTGGAGCTCAGCTCAACTGCTTAGAAACCCCCGTTCACCGTCTGAAAGGCTGGAGAAGGAAAGAAAAGCACGCCTGCTCTGACATGAAAACACCCGTGGCGTTTAAAAGACAGAAATAAACAAGCTTCCAGATGCTGCTCTCATACCACGTAAGACACACTCCTGGTGTGTTTGCTGACAGCTGTTAACTTTATTGTTTCTCTAAGTGTTTTTCTCCCCAGAAGAAACTACAACGATGTTCTGCTGAGCTGTGGTGGCCTCATGGAGGGGGCCATCGTCTAACACACTGCTGCTAACCACTTAAACATTCTCCCTCTCCTGATAATAACTTTTTACTTTCCTTGACGTTGGATGTGCTACTACTAGTTTACCCGTTTAATTATAGATTCACTAGGATAAATACAACAAAGTTTATCTCTCACCAAATAGAATATTTACTAAGAAATCACAATGTTGTGTGTGTGTGTGTGTGTGTGTGTGTGTGTGCGTGCGTGCGTGCGTGTGTGTGTGTGCTCTGTCTTCTCCATCCCCAGTGAGTCGTGGAGGATGGCTGCTTATACTGAGCCAGGATCCTCTGGAGGTTTCTTCCTGTTAAAAGGGAGTTTTCTTCTCCACTGTCGCTGCATGCTTGCTTAGTATGAGGATTGCTGTATAGTCACTGACACTAGTCAGTGACTCGATGCAACCTGCTGGGTTCCTTATACAGGAAACTTTTTTCTGATTGGCTTAATGAACTGACCTGAATTGGAATGTTTATTATGTGAAGTGTCTTGAGACGACTCTCGTCGTGATTTGGCGCTATATAAATAAAATTGAATTTAATTTGTTGCATGTGGAGAATTTAAATCGCTCCTTTCAGTCGTCGTTAAATGTGTTGGTGTGTGAATTCACTTGTTTCCACATGACGAAATGAAATAAACATTTCACTTTATGTGTTAGAGTTCCTTCTTCTAACCTGATCTAAAAGGATAAAGTTTACAATCATAGATTTCTGAGCAAACATGAGTCAGTTTATGGTCAAACTTGTCATTTTTAAAGCTTTACACCAAACACCAACAGAATTACAATAATAATAATAATAACATGACTGTTCTTGATTAAACAGCAGAATGACTTAAATATGTTTATTATGGTATTTTAAATCTCCCTCAAAAACAATTTCTCAATAAAATAAATATTCTTCTAAAAACGAGTCTGTGTTGTGGATGACTCTCTGAGACCACACCAAGTTTTAACTGACTTAGTAACGGCCATTTTTGTGTTTGCTAATGCTGACTAGCTGCTGCAGCCATCTTTAACAGGACAAACTCCATGGTTGGGTTGAGGAAACTGCTTTTTAAACCTATTTCAAAGTAGATGCATTAAAAAATGTTTAAAATCATCCGAAAAGCTGAGGGAAGCTTAAATATGACCTCGGTATTCCCCATTCAGTGACTCAGTCGTAAGAGACATCCCAGATGTAAAACAGAATGCTGCCGTAGGTCATTCATCCCCTCTGCAGTAAGAGTGTGTAACTCCTCAGTTTAACTGGTACTGGCATTATCCTGGTACACAATAACACCAATGCAGTATTCATTATGTGTTCAATACTGGATTTACATAGTATGTCTGTGTATGCTGCAGTGTTGAAACCCAAGTCTTTTCCTTTTTTATTTGTGGTTTCAGTGGTCGAAGGTTACAATTCTACACTACTGCCTATGTGTATAAATACATGTACCTTTGATTTTATTTTTCTTCAAATTATTCTCTAAAGTGTTGGTGCTGCTGTAACAAGTGAATTTCCCCACTGTGGGATCAATACAGTCTGTTCTATTCTATTCTAAAATCAGATAAGGAAGTGAAAATGTTGGAGGGCATTACAGAACACGAGAGTTAATTTGGTTTAACATTTATGATGGTTTTTAAACTCATCAGTGCTATAAAGTTAATTTCGCCCCAGAAAAGAAGATTCAAGAGCTCTTATTGTAATTCAGAGTGCTGATTAGCAGATTGCTGACTTGTTGGTGACTCTGGATCAGATAAGTACACGTCTACTCTGCACACATTAGACAGCTGGTAATTTCATGCTGGTCTGGGTTCACTCATATGTTTTGTTTATGAGACCAACTGAAAGAAGAGCATTGTTGAGCTTATGAGAAAGTGAAGACAAATATCCTCTAAATATATAAAATGAAATACTTCACATTCCTTTAGGAGAAGGTATTTTCTAGCTGAGCTCAGACTCTTCCTGAGACAAACCTTTACCTAATCTGTGAGCGGCGAGGACGACTCGCATCTGATACAAATGAAGCTCACCTGTAAAAGTTTACGTCAGTGAACCAGTCCTGCACCACTATCACCACATGGCACACCGTAAACAGGAAGGCTGCGATCTGAAGGGACTGTTGGAGGATTACATAAAAAATGTCAAAAATAAATAAACAACAATTAAAAACATTTAAAAACAAGTAAAAACTGAACTATTTTGCATCATTTTTACTGGGTCCTGCCCCCAGCAGGCCAGATACAAACCTGCATTTCCACATATGTGTGAGGAAGGTTGTACTCTGGAGGCAACTTTCGATCGTTGTTGATTACGTGGTCGAGAAGTGACGGGCTGAGCATGGGCTATAAAAAAAAAGGTGTTTCAAACATTCTCACTCTAACGTCTGACAGTGTTGCTTTAAATCTCCTCACCTGTGTGTCCAAGAAGATGATTCTCTCTTGTGTGATGAAGAAATCTATCCCTGAGCTCTGATTCCCTCCTCTCTCTTTGATCTCTTGAGTCTGAGCTCTGAACACGTAACTCCTGTGCAAAAACACATTGGGTTTACCTCCTATTAAACCACAACAAACGCTGCCGAACAGAGAAAGCTTGAATCTAAATAAATCCAGTGATGCAGTCAAATGATACTGAGAGGGAATCAAATGTGTTGACTAAGCTGAGATTTTGTCCACAAATATTTCTGGTGTCTGAAAACTAGTTTATTTCTAAGCTGAAACATTTGACTCTACACAAGAGTTATGTCACCCCTCAGTGTTCAGGAAAAGTAGAACACCTTCCATTTACAAAGTCTTAAAGGTGGTTAAATCAATACATTTGCACTAATCTCTAGCAGGAATGAAAGCCTTGCAGGCAGAACTCTGGGCACAAAAAAGCCCACAAACCCCTGGCCCACGAGTCACAGCTGTACTTCAAACGGAAGGATTTAGACTTATTTCCTGATATTTAGACATCTTGCCCCAGATTGGATAAAAGCAACGCCACTCTACCACTGACTCTGTTTGCTCGGGGACATGGATGTTTCATCTGCACAAATATATTGGAAGGAAATAAATCTAATATTAAAAACACGTGGCGTATATTAAATGATATAATAAAAAAAGGGTAGTGGCACTAATAGTTTTCCAAATATTTTTCTAACAAAAGACAATCAAGAAATTTATCAGTCTAAAGAAATAGCAAATGAATTCAATAAGTATTTTACTGAAAGTGGGCTAAATTTGGCAAAGGATATAGCAAATACTAATGTAGATGCTGATGCTGTGAGTAAAATAACAAATGTAGATAAAACCATATTTGTTCAAGGCACAAATGAAAATGAAGTTATAACACTTGTTAGAAAATTTAAAAGTAAAAAGTCAGCAGATTTGCATGGATTTCATATGTCCGTTGTAAAAGAAATCACTGAGACTTTAGCCAAACCACTTACACATATTTGTAATCAGTCTCTCCAATCAGGAAGATTTCCTGAAAGGATGAAGGTTGCAAAGGTCATTCCTGTCTATAAGGCTGGAGACAAACGTGACTTTTCTGATTACAGACTGATTTCTATTTGATCTCAATTCTCCAAAATACTAGAAACAATTTTTCATAAAAGATTGTATGACTTTATCGTGCATCATGGTATTCTATGTGAACAGCAATATGGTTTTAGACGTGATCGGACAACTTCTCTGGCAATTGCTGATCTAGTGGAGAAAATATCTGATGCGACTGACAACAAACAGTATGCTGTAGGGGTGTTCTTAGACCTGACCAAAGCTTTTGATACTGTCAATCATGACTTATTTATAAAAAAAATGTGTAGATATGGCATCAGGGGTGTGGCCTATGACTGGATTAAGAGTTATTTAGAGAACAGACTCCAAACGTCCACATTAACAACACTGATTCACAGCTACTGACAGTGACCACCGGTATCCCACAGGGGTTAGTGCTAGGTCCTTTGTTATGTACTCTTTATATTAATGACATATGTTTAGTTTCTAAAACACCACATTTCACATTATTTGCAGATGATACGAATGTTCTAAGTTTTGGGAAAGATTTAATAACATTAATGGACAAGGACGAGAAAGAATTAAATGCATTAAAGTGTTGGTTTGATTAAAATAAATTAACTTTAAATCTAAATAAAACTAAATTGATCATATTTACTAACAGAGCAATTACAGTGGATACACATCTGAAAATAAATAACACAGAAATTGAAAGAGTGAGTGAAATAAAATTTCTTGGCGTAACCATAGAAAAAAGTTAAGTTGGAAACCGCATATTGACTCAATTAAAGCAAAGTTATCTAAATCATTAGCAGTTCTCTATAAAGTTAAAGAATTTTTAGATGAAAAAGCTTTATATCTTTTGTATTGTTCCTTAATTCTGCCTTATTTCATGTATTGTGTTGAAGTGTGGGGAAACACCTACGAAACCCACTTAAAGCCTTTGTTTATAATTCAGAAGAGAGCAATCTGACTTGTAAATAAAGCAGCTTGTAGAGAGTATACACATTTACTTTTTATTCGTTTAAAAGCATTAAAGTTAAGAGAATTAGTTACATTAAGAAATGCACTATTTATGTATAAAGTGATGAATAATTTGATGCCAAAACAAATTCAGGATCTGTTCCAGATCAGAGAGAGTGTTTATGATCTCAGAGGGTATAACATGTTTAGAAAGCCTAAAGTAAGAACTAAAATGAAACAACTTTGTGTTTCTTGTGTTGGGGTTGATGTGTGGAATAAATTAGACCAGGAGCAAAAAGATTGTTCAGCAATGTTAAAGTTTAAGGGTTTGTTTAAATCAAATGTGGTTAAATATTATGAATCAAGTCAATGAAAAAATGCATAAAAATTAAAGGTTATTACTGTTTATAAAGCAAGAATGGGGATTAGAATATATTCTCATACATTTCAATAATGGTGCATAAATTATGGAATCGGTATGCTATTCTAAAATTGTGTTTAAGTTTCAAATGGTTTGGGGGGTTGGGCTTATAAGCTCATGCTTCTGCCTGTACCCAGTTTTGAATTGTATAAGTGGTGTGTTTACTTGTGTTTACTTGTAAACCTTCAAATGTTTTTATTATATATATATATATATATATATATATATATATATATATATATATATATATATATATATATATATATATATATATATTAAAGGTGAATGAACATGGTTGCGCAAATGAGGAGGAGGAGCTTGAGTCGTGTTTGAGTTGCTAATGTTAGCTTTTGCTGAAAGGGGCATTCTCTGCTGATTTTGGACGCTAAACAACAGCCTTCCCCTTCGTGAGTCAATACGGGAAAGCCCAATTCACAGTGTGACGTAGACCTGTCAGGCTTTTCAAATCCTAGAGTTTCACGTGTATTTTCTGTTAGAAGCTACTGCAGGAGATGGTGTAGGAGACTATTTTTCTGTTCAGCCTGCATGAAAAACTCACCTATTATAATCAGAAATAACAATTAAAACTGTTTTTCAGTCTCCCACACCTTCAGAGGGAAATTATTACTATTACAGTTTTGTTACAGCCAGCATGTGTATTTCTTTTCTTCAAAGCCCATCCTCTTCATGAGACCGTCAGAGAACAACAGACCTTCCTCTTCTTCAGACCGCTACAGGAGATCATTCCTGCCCACAGCCATCAGCGCCTAAACAGCTCTTTGTAAAATACTGAATGATAAAATATCTTCATTAGGGATGCACCGAAACGAAATTTTGGGCCGATACTGATATTAATATTGCTGTTATGACCGTGATAGAATAATTATTCATGTTTTCATTTGTCATGCTTTATGCTTTTATTTTAATTAAAGATTGTTTTCACTGATCATGTTTTATGCTTAATGATTTTACCATTTGATACTTAAACAGTTGCTGTATTGTAAAGTTCCCTCATGAGACTTTAAGGGTGTTAAAATCTGACCTAATGTGATCCAAAGATGACCCGAATAGATCTGCTGATCTGTCAATTGCTGACTCGTGCAACTGCTTGCAACTCATCGTGTGATTAGACACTGAAAGTTCTTTGTGTAATAATGAATGCTCTTTGTTTGAAACTTGTAACAATTAAAGACGGAGAGCTGTGTTTTCCTCCCTCCCTTTAGATCAGCTCTTCAGGCATGTAAACTAAGGGAAGCTCCCAACTTGTAATAGAGGTGCTCGGATTCCAATGGCAGAGTGGCGAGGGATTTCACACAGTGAGGTGGAGATCACACTGTGTTGTCTCTGTCATTCTCCTCGAGCTTAAAACAGAATTCTGACTTTTGTGTCTCTTTCCTTGTGTTGTGTTGTTTTATGGTGTCTTAGGTGCTTAAACCTGACAGACCAATAATTGATATTTGCCAATACTGATGCATGCTGACATTTACACTTCTGAGATCAGCTAATTTTATATAAACTGAAAATTATGCAAGCTGTAAATGTTTATATCTTGCTTTATTTCTATAAAGTGCAATTTGCAATGTGTGTGTGTGGAAGCCAAGTTTGAGTTCAAATACGTTTAAGTCTGTGAATAAGTTAAGCTAAAAACAATTTCATTTGTGTATTTCAAAATGGTTATTTGTTAAAAGAAGTCTTGTTTTGGTCAATTCATGTAGGGTAGAAAATAGGTTACTGTCCCTTTAAGAAAAGGGCAGCCACACGGGGTGGGGCTGTAAAACCCATTACATCCAGCTGCGTGTGGTGAGGTGTAGAGCAATATGGTTTCTTGCCGTATCATTGTTTTATTTAAACTGAGGAAAACTTAATTTTGGACACTGCTGTAAGATTACAAGCTGTGGAATAAATATGTTGATAACTTTTCATCAGAGTACTGTGGAAGCTTGTCTCCTCATCATTAAACATGCACGAGTAAACCAAGGCCAAGGAAGCCTCACCAGCCACAGTGTGTTTATGTGTTTGTGTCTGTTATTATATACACACAACACACACATTTACACTCCTGAGATAATTATCATCACTGTCACCTGTCTAAACTATTACACATCATCTGGATCTCATTTACTAACCACACTGAAACACAGAGAGCAGTTAACAGAAATGCTTGTGTTCTTGGTGCCAACAACAAACCCACCTCTGGTCTTCTTCAGGTGTGTTAGCAGATAACAGAGACATAATGGTAGATTTCCCAGTTCCCTGCAGCCCAAGAGCTCCCACCACCAGCATATCTGTCTGATCCCTCAAATACTGCAGCACATAAAAGAAAAAGACGTCATATGGGGAGTGAACACTGTAAATTACTGATGTCATTACGTTTAACTCACGAAGAACATTAACTCACCTCCATGGCACTGTCACACCAATTCATCTGATCATCTACCAGCTTGATGCTGTGCTTCATCTTTTCTGGATGGAGGAGTTTGGACTGACCCACCATGGCTGGAAGATGGAGGGAAATAATTAATTTGCTTTTATTTGACCCGAAAATCTGCCTGAAATTTTAAATTTCAAAGGTTTTATTTAATTCAATCCAGCTTATTTATATAACCCCAAATCACGACAAGTGATTGATTGCTTGATGTAGAGCTAAAATGATGCGTTTGTAGAGCTCCTCGTGGTCCACTCACGGTCCACAGCACTGCCAGAAGCAGAAGCACCCATCCCTCGATTTTGGATCTGGTATACGGGCTGAGTGGGTCGCTGCCCTTCCCTCTCCATCTTGGAGGGTCCAGGACCCGCAGACTGGGCGGTTGATTCAAGAGGTGTCCCTGGCTTCCCTGCATCATCTCTGGCCTTCATCAGCATAATGGGCTTCTCCAGTACAGGAGCTCCACTGATTGGTGCATTCTGTGATGACTTTGCCTTAGAAAAGATCAGCTCGGGTCAATAGAAAGGTTGACTGACCTGCAACTATCACTTAATTCTACATTACGGCACAAACTACGTACCCTTTCACTTGGGGGTTTAGCCAAAATAATGGGGGTCTTCTGGATGAGGGGGCCTGGTGGATCCTCGCTCCCATCCTAACCAGGGGGAAGAAGAAGAAAATATCATTTCTATAGCGCCTCTCAAATCACGAGGCGCTTCACAAAAATGTATGTTTAATATGTAACACACGGATAAGGTAGCCAACAATCAGAATAGAAATGTATGCTTTTGGGAACATCTTCACGCTACCCTTCGTTCTCTCGGTTGATATTCCCGATCTCGACTGGGACCAGACAGATTTTGTCCTGGAGGTCCAGCTTCTCTTTCTCCCCGGCGTCGCCTCCTTCTGCGTCCCTGCCCGTACATACCGGGCTGACTGTGACCGGACTCTGACATGATTTACAGTTGGAACATAAAATCTAAAGACAGCACCAGTGTTAAAGCTGGCAGCAGAAAACCTAAAGAGATATCGGAAAAGGCTAAGCTCAATCACTTGTAAACACTTGTGGCTAACGTTTGCCCGTGAGTACTTGCTTTTGAACTCGGGGCTTACCGTTGAGCAAGACGGAGCAACTGCAACGGAAACCACGATTGACAAAACGTCACCGCCCATCCGAAATACCTTTTACTACGAAACAAACATATTCCGTCTGGTAAAAGAGCTCGTTTGGAAACTCATACAAGTATCATTAGTTCCTATTCTGTGATAATATAACATCCAACAACACAATAATAATTAATTATTATAACAATTTCGAGCGTTAATAATTATTTACCTCCATGTGACTACAGACAGACCATTTGAGACCACCGAGTGATAGAATCAGAAGACAAAGGTCATGTTCTGCTTAATGTGTATTTCTGTATTCTGGGAGATGTAGGCGTGCAAGTTATATACTTAGCTTGTAATAGCTGTTTTTAGCTGTGTAATAGCTGTGTGATTCCAACATCTGCAATTATAAAATCAGTTATATTAAATTTAAACAACAAGTGTATTTAGTCCAGAAATATTAGACAGAAACACAAAAGCCATCTGATTGTGGCCTTGTAAGACATTAACATGTCTTGTGGAAGTGTACTGTTTCCGGTGAAACCGGAAGTGAATTGTCTTGCGTATTCGGACTCCATGAACAAAATCATGTTTTAAAGTAAATCGAGGAGTTGTTTGTCCTTATTTTTGGAACCGATATACCTGTAACAACACCACGTGTTCGGTTAGATGCGCTCCTTATGCATATGAAGAGAAGTGGGTTGGTTTTTGGTCATGATTTTTGCTTTTTAGAAGCATCCTAACAGAAGGGCTTTTTTTCCAAAGCAATGTGAAATCGTGAGCTTTTCCCTGTTTGTGGTCTGGGGTAAGTATGTTACGTGAACTGGTGACTACAAATACTTCATTTTACTTTTCTTACGGTAGCTATTTGTAACAGTGTTTATTAATAGTAAATTAATGGAGGTTTGGATTGTGAAGTTCAGATGGATTCTGATGGTCCGACATCTCGTTAACAATTTGTTATTGTTTATTTTATCCTTAATAGTAGTTATTTAGTGGGAAGAGGGGGAAACTATTCTGGAATGATCCACAACGTTAAGAGGGCACATCAAAATATACTGTTTATTATGATGAACTTTTAAATATTTGCATGTGCGCCTAAACACAACTTGGATTTCAAATACAAGCAACACAAATGCGTGGGCTAAGCTTATCATAACACTGTCAGAAGAAGAGGGTGTGCCTATTTTATTTTTAGTAAAGAGCTAATTTAAAGATAAAGAGGGTCGGGTAATCGTTCTATTAGTAGATTTATCCGAATAAAATATATCTTGGCAATATCTATGCACCTAAGATTATCCTGACTTTTTTCTAAAACTAGACATGTGTTCAGGCTTTGGGGACTACCCAGTTATTCAGACTGGAGATTTAAATCAGGCCCTGGATGTATTTCTGGATAAATTGGGAAAGCCAGATCTTAGATCTAAGAACGCTTTGGATGCTATAAAATCACTTTGGTTTGGTAGATGCATGGAGGCTGCTTAACCCATCTGCTCATGATTATACCTTTTACTCAAGTAGACATTCGGTTTATAGCCATCTACAGTACAGGCCAAAGATTGGACACACCTTCTCACTCTATGTGTTTTCTTTGTTTACATGACCATTTACATTGGGAGATTCTAACTGAATGCATCAAAACTATGAATGAACACATGCAGAGATATGTACTTAACCGAAAAAGGTGAAACAACTGAAAACATGTTTTATATTCTATTTTCTTCAAAATATCCACCTTTACTCTGATTACTGCTTTGCACACTCTTGGCATTATCTTGATGAGCTTCAAGAGGTAATCCTTCAAGGCTGTTGGAAAACCATTTCACTTGACTACGTCTACCTCATCCTCTTACGTAACCAGGAGATAAATCAGATCGCCGTTTTGTCTATTTTGACAATTCAGACGTTTTGGAAGTTATTTACCATTAAAATACATACATTTAAAATAACAGAAAATAGGATAAAATATTTCAGAATCCCCCAAAAAATCTTAAAATCCATTATATATCCATCTCTCCATCCATTAACCCACCCATCCATATATCCATACATACATACATACATAGTTGAGAGCTAGAGATATATGTCTGAAATGTCACACAGGCACTTTCATTTAATTACATATTTATATTTAATGTAAAATAGTTTAAGTTCTATCTAGAGGTGACTCATATCCTATCATCCACAATATTACCATGGACGGACGGACGGAGATGTTTTGCCTTCAGACTTCTTTGTCTCCTGGGGAGTGTTGCAAAGCAATTCCCCACCAGGACAACAGAGGGTGTAGCGCTCGTCCTGTCATGTATCCGGTCCAAAATAGTGCATTTAATATTGTGTAATATCTGTTTTAGTTACTATTTAACACGGACAAATTAGTCCCTCGTTCTCCACCTCGTCATGTGCTCGCCCCCCACGTTTCCCGTCATTTTCGGCCACGAATAAAACTGCGCATTTTTTCACTCCTCCATTCACGGATGAAGAAAAGGTTGATTTTTTTTTTGTTTTTTCATGAGGTATTCCTCAAGCTGCTCTGTGTCTGCTGCTAGATATCTTTGGCTTTCTATGTTTTTGATGGTGCAACAGTGGCGCTGTTGACGACAGCAATGTCCTGACCAATCACAAGCTTTCATTCTCCATCTCGTTGGACGGATGTTTAGAAAAGAGAGCTCCCACCCAGAGAGGGTCTGGGTGGGGGCCTGGGGGCTCGGGGTGTGGGGGTGGTCGGCCCCATGGGGGGGATCTGGGCGGGGCCTTGGGGGTCAGGTCCTGACATGTATGCTGCCGGGGAGAAGGCAGGAACATGCAGCAGTGCCTGACTCGGGTTCAGGGGCCTCGGGTAGACCTTGGCTCCTCTGCTGTGCCATCACAGGGGAGGGGGAAGTCAGGGAGGGGGAGGACCCAACCTTACCTGGATGTCCTATGTCTTTTATAGTCTGGAAGTTGTGCAAATGCAGGAATGGGCATAGATATTCTGCTGGGGTGGGGCTGGGTTGGTGTCCTCGGACTCCGTGAGGCTCTGTGATGCTGCTGGTTTGGGCCCTGGCAAGATGGGCTGGGGTCTCCATGCCCTGGGTGGCATTTTGATAACAGAGGTGCCTATTGGGGCCAGTGGGGGAGCTGGCTCCCTGGAGGGCTAAGCCCAACCAGTCATTCCTCCCCATACCCACACATTTCTCTCCTCCTGCTCCCTCACACCATCACACAAACATGCACATAGGACCTTGGGGGGTGGACAAGTCAGGGAGTGCGAGTATGGACCCCATTTCCGCATTCCTGTGGCAACCTGCCCCCCAATTTTATTTGCACCTTAAACACTTCCACCAATGACATTCCACGCAAACACACACTTAGGGCCTTGGGAGTGAGCACATCCAACGGAACTTGGCAGGGGGATTTCTCAGCCTCATCCCAAGTGCCGGTGCCCACTTCCAATTTTAAACTGCACTTAGACACTGAGGGCTGTGGGTGCAAGTGGGGTGGTGTGGTGGCATCATCTGGCATAGGCCAGACGATACCCGCACAGCCCGCTCATCACAGCCATGGAATACACCTCATCAACACTCACTATCACCATATTGGAGCAGGCGGAGGGAGACTAGGGGTCTTAGCACACCTCTGTTGTCACGTGGCTTCCTGGGGCTGGAGGCTAGAAGGGAGATCCGGCCGTCCGGTTGGGGTCTGGGGTGGTGGATTGCTGTGCTCAGCGTTGGGCGGGGAGGCCTGCTCATCAGCACCCCAGCAGAAAGGGTCGAACTCTTGGAACCGGTAATGGTTGTGCCCCATGTGCAGCAGTACCGGGACCAGAGTGAATAGGGTGTGTATGGGGAGCATGAGTGGGTGTCCGGTGTACCTGGTGACGGGTGTGGTGCCTTGGTCTGCCTGAGTGTTCGTGGCTCCCAGGTCAGGGGGTTTAAGATTTTTGGCATCTGCCTGATCAATCCCGGTGGCTGTCTGGTGGGGTTTGGGTCCCTGGGCTCTGCTGGGTCCCCGGCGGGGGTGGTCGCCCCTGGGTCCTGGGCTCGGCCGGCTAGGGGGTGGGAGGCTGCGGGCGGGCCTGTGGGCTTGCCGCTGATATCTCCCGGGACTCTGCCAGCTGCTGGTTGTGGCCCCCCGGGGCGATCCTCTGCGCCTCTCGAGGGGGGCTGGGGCTTTTCTGGTCGCAGTCTCCCTGGGGTCCCTGTGGTCTGGGGCAGCGCCTGGATCTCTGGGACTTGGAGCTCCCCCCGTCTCCTGCACATCTTTAGGGGGCAGATCTGTGGCCCCTCACACTCTCTATTGGACGCTCCTATAGAGAAACCTTACATAAACAAGCGCGTGTACACACACAGGTGCTCACATGGTGCTCTCATAAGTATGGACTTGGGTACGTTCAACACAGGTCTTAAGACTATGGTGGGCACTTAATGCACTGTGATTTATTATCGTGTGATTCTTCAGTTAAACAGTGTTGATTAAATTTCTTCATCAAGTTGACGCAGTGATAGCTTGATCTTGTTGTATTGTTGTTGTGTCCCATGTTTTTTCTCTCTCTTTCTGCAGGTCTAGAAGCAGATTCTTGTTCATTATTGTTTATTTTTGTGGACCCCCCCCATCTTTTGTCTCTTCCTTTCTCTTTCACCTCTGACTCCGTGTCTGGTCGGAATTACAAAACATTCAAAAACAATAACAATATAGTTTTAAGTATCAGGCGTGACATTAAAAGCAGACGCTTTGATGCTCCACCTGAGAGTAAATCTGTAAGGCTTGTTACCAGCATTCCAATGAGAGTTGGACTCTGGCAAGGCTGCCCTTTGTCACCAATTCTATTTTGGTGGTCTAAGGAGTGAGTCTCTTTTTGCAGATGATTTAGTCCTGTTGGTTTCATCAGAACATGATCTCCGGTTCTCACTGGAGTGGTTTGCAGCCCAGGCTGGAGCCGCTGGGATGAGAACCAGCTCCTCTAAATCTGAGACCATGGTCATGAGTCAGAAAAGGGTATAACGCCTTCTCCGGGTCAGGGACTTGGTCCTGTCTCAGGTGGAGGCGTTTAAGTATCTCGGGGTCTTGTTCAGGAGTGAGTGAAAGATGGAGCACAAGATCGATAGGTGGATTGGTGCCGCGTCTGCAGGGATGCAGGCGTTGTAACGGTCTGTCATGGTGAAGAGAGAGCTGAGCCGGAAGGCAAAGCTCTTGATTTACCGATCGATCTACGTTCCTACCCAAACCTATGGTCACGAGCTTTGGGTAGTGACCGAAATAATGAGATAGCAGATACAAGCGGCCAAAATCAGTTTTCTCCGCAGGGTGGCTGGGCTCTCCCTTATGCCTCTTTCCCACTAGCATTGGCTCCACACTGCCCGGATAGCCCCAGTCGGCCCCAGCCTGGCCCATTTGATTTCACACATCCTTGCCTAGGGATGCAAGGAATGCAGTCAGACACGTTCACAGCTCCTAGGTAATCAGCATGATAATGACTCATGCATGCATTAAGCCCATGTGGGCTGATTCTACCCACCTATCAGAGGCTTCCCCTAATGGAAGACGTGAATTTGAGTCGGCCAATAGTCTGTGTCTGTGTTGGCACTGGTCAGCCTGAAGCAGACCACCTCAGAAAGAGGGCTGATAAAAATGTTAAGATTACTTGAGCGTAACTTGATCAAATCATGTACGTTTTGCAAGACTTTTACCTTGACGTATAATATTCATAACATGTAATTAGAATAAAATGACTTCAGTAGGAAATATCTTTCTTCCTTGATGATATTTTTCCAGAGTAAAACATTTAATTCTTTCCACAAAACCTCTCACACAAAACAACTTAACAGTTACTCTATTTTAAATGATTTGATTTAGATCTTTGACTTTTCTGAGCACAGGTATATCTTAAGATTTGTATTTACACTGCTCAAAAAACTAAAGGGAACTCTTTAACAACACAATGCAACTCCAAGTCAATCACACTTCTGTGGATCAAACTGTCCACTTAGGAAGCAACACTGATTGACAATCAGTGTTACTGCTGTTGTGCAGATGGAACAGACGCCAGATGGAAATTATAGGCAGTTGGGAAGACATCTCCAATAAAGGAGTGGTTCTGCAGGTGGTGACAGACCACTTCTCAGTTTTCCAGAGCATAGAGCTCCGGGATTTGACGTCACGTTTCCCGGCATGCAACAGTTCAAATCGAAACGGCGCCATATTGGCAGGCAGAAGCCGGCAGCTGGACTATTTGTTATTGTCAGAAAACTCAATCAAACGGGAAATATGGTAGATTCCTGTTGTGCCCCAGGATGCAGAACAGACGCGGACGACATAAGGAATGAGCCATCTACAGGATTCCCCAAGATCCGGAGCGCCGCGAACGTTGGATCGTTGTAATAAAACGCGCTAGTGACCGGGCGAAAATGAAGCTGTGGGATCCCGAGAGTAAAGGTTTTCGCTTATGCAGCGACCACTTCATATCAGGTACTTAAACCAACGTTTCCTCAACTGTGTATGGTATTTATTTTAAATGCTTTTATTACGATTCTCAGTGGGCTTCCTAAACTTATTTTGGCGTGGCTTTTTCTGTCTTATTACTCATAGCAACAAGTAAACGTCACGTAAAACGTTGCCTCGTGATTTCTGCGTGCGGCCATTTACGTGTTTTATGATCACAGCAATTAACCGGCTAAGCTGTATTTAATTTTTAAGCAATGGTTGATCAATTGTCAGATCACACATAAAAAGCACTTTGGATTGCTATTATCTGTCTCACCGAGACAGATCTCAGACAGATCCTGAGACGCTCCTGCCTGGCATATTTATTTTATTGATGGAAAAAAAATCAAACTAGTGATTTCTCTTGGTGTTCGGTTTATACATTCAAACAGCACAGCACTCTATTTAAACTACTTACGTGTAAATCTGTTATTTGTCCATCCATCCATTTTCATCCGCTTATCCGGAGTCGGGTTGCGGGGGCAGTAGCGTCGAGAGGCCCTGACTTCCCTCTCCCCAGCTGCCTGAGCCAGCTCCTCCGGGTAAATCCCAAGGGGTTCCCCGGCCAGGTCCGGTAAGAAGTCCGCTCCGACAGCTTCTGGCGTTTTTAAAAAGTATCCCAGGGGCAGGGTAAGGGTCGGAGATGTTTAGTCTATTTAATTTCTGACTATATAAAACGATTTCATCGGTTTTAAAGTGTGAAGTAAACTCCGACGAAGTAAAATCCAAGCGGATCCCGTTCACGTTCATGGTTACATCCGTGTTTGTTTACCTTTTTTTCCTGCCAAAATGGCGTCTACTAACTGAGAGTCACGTGGGGTCCGGAGCTCTATGGAGGTGCTACCTGGAGACAGGCCAGTACATGAGGGAGGAGGAGGCCAAAGGAGGGCAACAACCCAGTGGCAGGACTGCTACCTCTGCCTTTGTGCAAGGAGGAACAGGAGAAGCACTGCAAGAGCCCTGCAAAATGACCTCCACCTGGCCTCAAATGTGCATGTGTTTGCTCAAACTGTCAGAAACAATCTCCACGAGGGTGGTATGAGGGCATGACTTCCAGAGGTGGGGGTTGTACTTACAGCCCGACACCGTGCAGGACATTTTCCAGAGAACACCCAAGATTGGCTGATTCGCCACTGCGCCTTGTGCTCTTCATAGATGAAAGCAGGTTGACTGAGCACATGCGACAGACGTGACAGACTCTGGAGACGCCATAGAGAACATTCTGTTACCTGCAACATCCTCCATCATGACTGGTTATGCCGTGGGTTGATAATGGTTTTGGGTGGCGTTTGGGCCGCACAACCCTCCATGTGCTCGCCAAAGGTGGCCTGACCACCATTAAGTACCAAACTCAGACCTCTTGTGACCATATTGGCCTTGGGTTCCTGCTAATGCAAGACAATGCTTGACCTAAAGTGGCTGCAGTGTGTCAGCAGTTGAAGGCTTTGATGCTATGGACTGGCTCGACGGTTTCCCAGACCTGAATCCAATTTAGCACATCTGGGACATCATGTGTTGCTTCATCCACCAACACCACAGACTGTCCAAGAGTTGGTGGATATTTTTATACCAGGTCTGGGAGGAGATCCCTCAGAAGACCATCTACCACCTCATCAGGAGCATGCCCAGGCATTCATTGTAGGGAGGTTAGGCACGTGGAGGCCACACACACTACTGAGCCTCATTCTGATTTGTTTTAAGGACATTACACCAAAGTTGGATGAGCCCATGTTAGGGCTGGGCGATATGGCCCAAAATCAATATCAGGATATATTGAGGATTTCACCTCGATAACGATAAATGGACGACAAATACAGGTATGCGCAGAAACAAAAGTTGTCCACTAGATGGGGCTGTCACATGTTTTATAGAGTTACGTGTTTATGTGACTCAAGGTGGTACAGCTTGTTGCCAACCTACACACATCTTTTCATTTTGTATTATCTAATTTATTGACATGGGAAAAATTATCTCGATAAAAGTCAGAAATTTAGATATTGATGAATTTTCTATATATTGCCTAGCCCTACCCATACGGTGTTTTTCCATTTTAATTTAGAGCGTGACTCCAAATCCAGATCTAAGTCTTTAGTGAGAACATTTCATTCATTGAGATCTAGGGTGTCTTATTGTTGTGTTCCCTTTATTTATTTTTTTGAGCAGTGTAAATTGTAAAAATCTAGGAAGTGTGTGTGTGTGTGTGTGTGTGTGTGTGTGTGTGTGTGTGTGTGTGTGTGTTCTAGTTCAATATCTTATAAACCTCTAAAGGGATTTTAAGAAAACTCAGACATAAACACTGGATCTACTGATTAACATGGTGTCTGCACCTGTCAGTATGATAACATCAGATCAGTTTTAGCAAACGCCGTAATCTCAATAATCCAGACAGTTTCCCAGATATTGAGCCACACAAGGTCTTGTCATATTTAGTAGGATCAACTATAACATTATTTAGAAGTTTTGATTAAAAACGTCAGAATTGTTCTCTTGTGCTTATCTTTTTTATTCTTTTTCATTCATGTGCTGTCGTATCCAGTATGAGATCATTTCCATCAGAGGTAGCAAAAGAGTATTTGTCTAACTTCACCTTTTAAATAAACAGAGTTAATAAAGGGTTGCCTGGTTGTGAGAATGTTTCACTCCTCTAACACTCCCCTGGACCCACTGTCCTGCATGTTTTACATGTTTTGTTGCTCTAGCACACCTGTAATAAAGGATTGACTCATCTCACACCAACGACCCGAGCACGCGCCTGTTAATTAGCCATTAGCTAAAATCCGGTATGCTAAAGGAGGGAAAAGATCTAAGTTGAGCAGGACAGTGGAACCTGTCAACCAACATAAGGAATAAGTCAACCAACTGTTAACAGACATGTTAAATGTGTAATGAAGAATGATTCTCTAAAGCAGAAAGCGATTAATTCTGTTTTTGTTTGAATTGCAGAACAGCAGATGTTTCCTCGCCCAGCCCCTTATGCATAAAGACTCCAGCAAACACGAGGGTTGGCATTTATTCAGGAATTGGCAGCAAGATCATGAGGCTAAATGTTGGGAAGAAGTCATCAAGTTAACAAGCTTGTTGTTTTATTACAAAAGCCACAACACTGAAGCCACCTCTCATCAGCTGGATTACCCTGTCCCCTGACGTCTCCCTCCATCCAGCTGGACAGCACTCACTCGCTGCCCCAGGTGCCACCAGGGGTTTGGTACCATGAGGAACAAACGTGTAAAGACGCACTGCACGGGCTCTGCCGCTCTTCAGAATGGTTCATCTTTAGTTTATAAGAACAGTGACAGCTTCTCTAATGAGATGACCGAGCAGCAAAGCAACAACTTCATCCTTCATAACTCTGCCTCCAGTGTGAGGCCAGAGCAGGACAACCCTGAAATATCTGGGTTCTTTACAGAATACATAGTTGGTGAAGATGATGACGATGGCATGATCAGTGATCCAGACTGGAACAAGCTTTCATCAAACTCAGGATCCGATGATGAGACATTGTCTGCCAGTTCGGGTGACACTTCGAACAGCTCGGATTCGGAGTGTGGCCCCGAGCCTGGAGGTAGACTATGTTCTGAATGTGGCGGAGGGCCGTACAAGTCGCTCAGGCTCCATCTGCGTCAGTGTACGGGTGCAAAAAGATACCAGTGTGTTCTGTGTAAGGATTTATTTTCTAATGAGGCGGAACTCCAGGAGCACCACATGCCGCTGTATTTGTGTAATAGCTGTGGTCAGGTCTTCCCAAAGAAGGTCTTCCACTCCCACTCCCATTGTCCCAAACCACAGACGTCTCTGGTGCTCTTTTGCTCTGAGATGTTGCCCAAAGCGTGTAACATCTGTAAGTCCTTTTTCGTCTCAAAAAAGCTTCTGTTGGCTCATGTCACCAAAGTTCACTCATCAGTGGTCAGCACCAAAGTGTGCATCATCACTAATCCATCACTTCTGACAGATGAAAAGAAACTATCAGGTGTTCTTGGCACGCAAATCCAGTCAGGTGTCCCTCCTGCAAGGGAATCAAACCAGGTGGTTAACGGGAATGTTTCTGTTGGCTGGACTCATGAAGCTTCTTTGTCCAACTCGTTCCCTTTTCTTGCATCAGAACATCGTCCTTCATCTGCCTCACCCGTAGACCAGCCATCACTTTTTCTTCCCAGTACCTCCAGCCCAGCTCCAAACGCCATCAACTCTGACCATGACTACTCGTCCACCGCCACCGTTCTGGCCCTGTTCGAGAACAAGAGCCGCCAGCTGGCTCTGATGAAACGTATGAACTCAAGCTGGCGCTCCAAGCCCCCTCACCCCTGCAGGCAGTGCGGCGCCATCCTGAGGCAGCCCTCCTTCTTCATCAGTCATCGCTACCTCCACCGAGGTCGGCGCTCACACCGGTGCTGGTGTGGGCGGGACTTTAAACACCAGCTGCACCTGCTGAGACACTGCCTTCAGCACGCCGAGGCCTTAAGCTACATCTGCGTCAGCTGTGGCGACACTTTCACTGGAGCCAAACGCTTTGCAAAGCACCTTGTGGACAAAGTTGAGAAGAAGTCTCATCGTGGACAAACGATAAAAAGGAAAGTGAAGAAGAAATGCGGAATGCCCTTTATATGTGAATGTGGGCTGCGTTTTTTTAGTCCTTCAGCGTATTTATGGCACCAAATTAAGAACAAGAGCAAAATAAGGGACAGTTAATGAACATCAGTCTACTTTTATACTTCACTAAATGTTCAAACTTCACACGTCATCTGTCAGTCACTGGTTAGTTTGAATTAAGAAAACATTTATTCTGAAATGTTGAGGTGAAACGCTCATTCTCTGGATTGGAGAAATGTTTTCATCACATATAAACCAGAAAATTAAAATAAGTCAGCGGAAGGTTTGAAAAGAAAAAACAAAAACAAGGCACTTCAAGAAAATGTCTTGTTTTGTTAAAACATCACGGTTTCAATTTCCAAAACATGTTTAATCCAGTTTTCCACTCATAAAGTGCACTCTTGTCATTAATGTTCCAGTTTTTCTTTTAAATCATTTTGATGGTTTTTATTATTAACATCATTCTTGATCTTTTAGAGACAGTTTTTTCCCTGTAGTTGGAGGTAAACGTGAGTATGACCCTGAGACAGTAATTAAAAGTGTGACTGTTGGCCACTAGGTGGAGCAGTTGGGTCATTTTTGAAATGGAGGCAGGTGGGAATTTTTACATATTTTCTTACTGAGCAAAATGTAAACATTATTTAAGACGTTTTTATCCAAAACCAGGAAGTTTCCACAGATCAAGATTTGTACTGTAAAATAAAATATGCTTTCTGTGAAAATGAATTAAATCACTTCATTTCAAAGCCGGTTTCTTTGGATTGACGTACAGAAAAGGGAAATAAGATGCACAGTTTGAAAAGTTTGCTAATAAATAAACTGAGTGACCATTGATTAATCTGGTGCTGGGGTAAGAATAATTATTATTGATAAGATACACTGGAAATCACTACAAACAAATCTTAAATAAATGTTAAACATTCTACAGGAATCAGGCAACGATGGAGTTTTATCTACAAAATTATAAAATTTTGCGTCTTGTGGTTTATGAGATGCACTTTTTCTTGTTTTGAGATGATTTTTTTGCTTTTGCACCACATCTAATGTTCTCAGAAACTGAAAGTGTTGTCTGGTTGGACATCCATCAGTGCTCCTCCACCCAACCAGATCTTTCATACGTCTGCTGGTCCTCCAAACACTTCACAGTTCCAAGAGTCAGTAGCAGCTCTGTGTGGAGATGATTTATGGGTGCTGAAGTCTACAGACACTTCTTAAGGGTTTGTAGTCGTGTCACCTGCAAAGAGGAAAAAAGCTAAACATTTTCCACATCAGCTCAGCTACCACATCCTGCCATTTGCCGTCAGCGGGTCTATGCAGCCTCTGGCAGACGTAGCTGGTGTTTATACCTGATCTCTGGGTTGCGGTGACGCAGCGCCTCAGACAGCAACTTGGAGGTTTGCTGGAAGCAGCACCTCAGCTCGTCCAGCTTCTGCTCCATGGAGAGGATTCGATGCTCCAGCTCTCGGTATGAGTTGTTCCAGTTGGCGCTGAGGTCACACATGATCATCTGCATCTGAATGAAACCCAACGAGCAGATTGGATCTTTAATATTTATAGATGAAAACAGTTTATGGAATAGCTGCAGGTGAAGCAACCAGCTTAAAAGCGCTCCATCAGTAAGTGATGCCTGCAGTTCTGAAGGGAGTCCAGATGTGTGTTTCAGCTCTGTGAGCAGCCTCTGGTAGAACAGATGAATTCTGATCGGACTGATGAGCTAACAGCTAGTCGAAGTGTTTCGTAAATCTTTACATCATTCTAAATTTCAGAGCTGATTACATAAAACAAAATCTGTTTGTTTTCAGGGAAATTAGCAGCTGAGAAAGTTACTGCAGTTGGAATCTCATCATGTTCCCACTGGAATAGTCATGAAATGGGTTTGAGCTAGCTTTTAAATGGAACATGGAACACAAACACCAAAGTGACATCCAGTGTGTGTGGAGGTAGCTGCAACAGGGTTTCCAGCCGTCGGGATACCGGGTTTGCTGCTGTAGGCTTCACCTGAACTCACTGGTTTCAGATCTTTTATCCTCCCCCAACCTGGTATGGTGCCCTCTACTGGCTGATAGATGTAATCATAAATATTTGATTAGTTTTTCATTAAAATGTAGCTTTTAAAGGAAATACTGCACCTTCATTCTGCACACCTCTAAACGCCTAAAGCTTGTTTCATATTCAACCTTCACCACTTTAGAAACAAACAATATGGAACAATGTTATTTATGACCATTTAAAAGGAGCTTACTACATTTCATTGGATTTTTTAATTCTTTGATGTTTTTTTATTTATTTACTTTTCAGAGTTGTTTTTGTGTTTATTACAATTTTAGCCTCACATGTTTTTACTTTACTGTTTTTGCTATATAGTAAAATTTTCTCATTTTTTAAAATGTTTGCGGTAAACTGAGACGTTAAAGTGCACTAATACAGCCAGTCACTCATCAGGTAACAATCTAAAGTTAAGTTGGATGTAAGCTAATAATGTTTAGAGTGCTTTTCTATCATCTTCATATTTTGTAAACATTTTTAAGTTTAGTGCTTTTGTTTGCTCAGTTAAGTTCATTTAATCCTTCAGTCAGACTAAAATATGTTTTTACCAAATGGTGCAGGTTAAAGTTTTAAATAGCATTTGCAAATATTATGGATTTTTCCAAAAGTGAACTGTTTTAAGGCACATTGAAATGACCTCTTTATTAAGAGTTGTCAGAACAAATCTCTGCTTCTCACTGAGGCCATTCAGAGTTCTCTACAACAGCTGAAACACTATTAATGGATCATAACATTTCCACAGAAACCCATTTCAGAAGATGTGAACTGTCTGAATAAAATCATTTTCCCTCATAACTCAGTCCAGCATGAGGCATAAACTGCAGCAGCTCTCATGTTTTAGATTTTTATAGCCTACAAAGTTTCTAACATTTGGAAACGAGGATAGTGTTTTTTCTTGTCTTCACAGAGAAACATTTACCTTCGGGAGGTCCACCATCTCACTGACGTAATCTCTCAGTTTCCTTTGTTTGAGACGTAAATGTCGAAATCTGCGGGTTGGAAAGAAAACGCTCTCAGTCATGTGGAAGTATTTCAAATTTATATTACATCATTCTAAGTACAACACACAGACAAAGACGTGGAAGTGAAAGAATCGAGTCTTTTTCAGCTCAAAACAATCCTTCTGATTTAAAAATAATTATGTTTTTGTGTTGGGTTTTAAAGTGCTCCGGTGAGAGCGCTGCACGGAGCGTCCTGTTTTTGGAAACAACAGTCCTGGCACAATGCTGCCTGATTTGGGGGAGAATATGCTGACGGGTATTCCACTAATCATGGAGGGGGTCATGCTGAGTTTGTTAAACAGCTATAAAACACTGCCAGAGGGGTTGTGAGATATAGAGCTGGAAAAGAGATAAATATAGTATCACAGATGAATCGGGCAGAGACGTGGAAAAAAGCAGAAACGTGGAAACCAATAATGGATCAGGGCCTGCAGGTTTGGAGAAAAAAGAGAGATGAGGTGATGGAGTCTCATTACCCAAAACGAGGAGGTTCCTCCTGCTCATACTTTCCACAAAGTGTTTATTTGTAATGGTTCAGTGAAGTTTAAAGCAGGAACCCCCTCCAAACACACACACACACACACACACACACACACACACACGTCCTGTTGACAGAATAATAGATCTCTTAATAATGCTGCTAAACTTCCACTTGTTCTTGGAGTTTGAGCCTCAGCAGAAAGATTCTGTGTGAATTGTAACCAAGCAAAAAATCATGCAGGAATGTGATTTTATTTCATTTCTTTTTGTCCAAATTTTTAAGAAACAGTCAGGACCAGAACTGAGATGGATGCAAATCTCTTTTTTAAGGAAATGCGATGGAAAAACTGACTCCATTTTAAAACTAAAATTTTGTCTTTTACTCATAAAAAAACATGTAAGCTAATTAAAAATATCAAGATGGACAATTTTGTGCAAATCAACACAATCTCAAAAATGTAAACACCAATTTCTGCCCTTAAGATCTTAGTTGATTATGTAAATAATTAGTTAACTGCAGACGATCACAAGCCACATAACTATTAAAATATTATTAAATTGTATGCTGTATTCTGCTTTACAAGCATATGTTGTTATTCCTTTTGCTCAGCATGTATTTCTGCCCAATTTAAAGTCCAAACTTAAAACTTTCTTGTGATGTTTTTGAAGGACAGTTGAAGTAAAAATGGCAGAATGAAGGCAAAACACGGCAGCAGCACATTTGTTCATAAATGGTCTATTAATTATTTATATAGAGCTCCGGACCCCACGTGACTCTCAGTTAGTGGACGCCATTTTGGCATGCAAAAAAGGTAAACAAACACGGATGTAACCATGAACATGAACGGGATCCG